AAGGACTCCAAGATTAAATCTGAAAAAACCCCAAGAAAACCCCCAGACACTGAAGTGGAGCTCAAAGGTTCAGATAATCTGATAATAATCTGTCTGATCTGATTTGTAAAAGATCGGCCTGTAGCTGGTCAGAGAGGTTTGTGACCTTTCTTCATCTCTTCCTGGTTGTGAGGTTAATTAATCAGCACCTCCTGATGTTTCAGTGACTTGAAGTCATCATTTATGCTCTGATGATTTCAGTATGTTGAAGTTTCTCCCAGAAGCAGCTGTTCTCTGTATTTCCTCTTGACATTAAAAATTAATAGTGAGCTAGAAGGACAACAAGCTGACTGCTTTATTAAATCTGCTGACACTGCATGTGTCTCATCCACAGGCAACAGCTGCTATTTTCCATTTCAACAAATGATTAGCACCACAGAGAGATCAGTCAGAGCCCTGTATCCGCTCTTACTGCACAGACCTGCGATATAACAGGTTAAAAAGTGAAATAAATACTAACCACTCACAGCAGATGGCTGCACCTCCCCTGAGGCTGGTTCTGGAGGAGGTTTCATCTCGTTAAAAGGAGTTTTTTCATTCCACTGCCGCCAACTGATTGCCCATTAGAAGAATCGGATTGTTAGTGTTTTTCCAGAAATACTGTAGGATCTTTATCTTACAGTATAGAGCACTTTGAACAGACAATTTTTGTAATTTTAGCACAATATATAAAACGGAATTGAACTGAATCTCTTCACTAAGTTTTTGGGAAAATAAGACTTTTTTTAAATGAAAAAACAGTTTTTGTATCCCAAGCACAAAAACTCAAACTGTTCAGGTCGTCAGTGTGTAACTCCACAGGGGTCTGTGGGAGTTCGGGAGGTTTGATTTTCCGTTTCCAGGTGAGGTTCTGGTGATTGGTTCAAATCTTCCAATCATCGCTGCTCCGGGTGATGATGTCATCCTGCCGTGTCACCTGGAGCCCACGTTCGATGTCCAGGGTCTGACGGTGGAGTGGTCCAAACCCGACCTGAAGCCCGACCCGTCGGACCGGCTGAGCCGAGTGGAGTACGTTCACCTGTACAGGGACAGGCAGGAGGTCCCCGACATGAAGATGGCCTCGTACTTCAGGAGGACGGAGCTGTTCATGGACGACATGAAACACGGGAACATTTCACTGAAGATCCTGAACGTGTCGGAGGAAGACAACGGCAGATACAGATGTTTCATCCCCAAGCTGCAGAGCAGAGTGAAAGCTGCTGTTGTTGAACTTGTAGTCGGTGAGAAGATTTGTTTTGTTTTATATTCCAAACTTTTCAGGCAAGTTTCACAAACAGATTTCACTCTACTGTTTTTGGTGTTTTTTGCTTTGATTTTTAGATCCAAAAATACTAAAAACCTGACGACAGACAGACCACTGCATCCCCAAATCCTCCAAACTCCAAATCCTCAGGACACGACTCCAAGAAATTGTGAGAGTCCAACAGCCCAACTTTCGTCTGCATCCTTTACATTTGAGAGATATTTTTAGTAAAACGTTTTCATACATCAGCAGGTCGGTCCAGGGTCTCTGTGGTCGTCGTTATCTTTGCCTTTATATCAGTTGTGGCTGTCGCTGCTTTCGCTCCATGTTTCTCTGACCGTGTAAATGTAAGAAACAAACAAATAGACACAAACTTGTTGTTGATTCTTTGTCATCAGATTGGCTAATTTTTCACCTTCTTTCAACAGAAGCAACCAGAGGATGATGAGACGCAAAGATAACAGTAACCTGGCATTGTTAGGAACGCTGGTGTTAATGGAGCTGAGAGCGTTAGAGCTTTATCTTCCCTGGATCTTCAGTCAGGTTGGGAATTCAAACCAGCAGCCACAGAGAGACACTCGGGTCCAGCAGCACTGAGATCATCATAAGGTCACCCTACAAAAGGATGTGAGTCTGACTGGGGTTTGAATCTTGACGCATCACATGAACAGCTGTGTGAAGTACACTTATAGAGCCTAAAAACAAATCTAAAATAAAGTGTTGTACTCTTAGGAAAACTTAACACTAAACTAATGTTATATTAAGATCAAATGAATAACAGAGAAGTTTTGAATGTAAGTGGGTTGGGATGCAATGAAGCAATGGTTCTTGGATTTAAATGTGACCTATGAGGTAATTTTGTTTCCAAAGTGTGATTGTTTCCCACATCGACTCACGTTGGTTAAACTATCTCACTGTGGAAAACACTGAAGAGTTTATTCAAGGTTAAAAATAAATTCCAAATGTGCTTCCTGGTGATCATAAAGAGCTCTGGTCAGTGGAAAAACCCTTACCTCACCAGTTTGAAATGTCAGGTTACAGTTAAACCATTATACTTAGTTTTCTTGGAATTATTTTTAGAGTTACTGGAAATTGTTAAATGCAGAACGATCAGCTGGTTTCAAGATATCTTTAACTTGTGGTCTCATTATGTAGCTCCAGTAGCTAATAGCATTTGATTTATTATATTTATTTATTTTTATTTAATTACTTATTTTCCAGCTTTAGTTGTGATCAAGTGCTGGCTGATGTGCATCACCTGCTGAAAGGCAGTTTGGTTTGGAAGGTTGTCCAGGATGATCCCAGCGTCCACTGCAGATCACAGCGTGTGAATATTCTGAAGATTTCAAAAGCATCAGCAGCTTTCAAGTGACAAACACTGGATTTATGGAGTTCATATAGAGACGTCTTTTGTTTTATTGACTGTATTGTGGAAACGGAGTCTTTGATAGTTCATTTGATCAGATCTGATTGTTTTTCTTACTTCACATGTTTTCTTTTGTTTTTTCTACCATCTTTAATGTCTCAGTGAAACTGAACTGTGAGTTGAGTACTTGAAGTACAGAAAGACCTCCTGCACTGTGTTAATTAACTCCAGCACTTTGTCAAATGTATGTGCACTGATACAGTCGTTCCTTCATTTAACCACACTTGAATTTAAAAGATATTCTGTAGTGACTGGGTTTAAGGTTAAAAGGAATGGCTAATTTATTACATTTATTTTGAACCTACTACTTGAAAGGTTGGTGGTTCGATCCCTGTCTGCTCCAGTCTGGATGCCAAATATCTGTAATATAATCTATCATTTTCTTATACAGCCCACTGTCAGCCTTTTCCTTTACCCCCTCTCTCTTTGCTGTGTGCCTTGCCTATCAGTGCTACACTCTGCTTTTTTCATCTGCCTGGCTTTCCCACTTTTTCTTATCTAACCTCTTTCTTTGAATATTTTCCCGTACTTCCTCATACCACAGCAAACTTTCAGTGTCTTCTTTCCTCTGTCCAGAGTTTCGCTCAGCACTACGGCTCTACTTTTCCCAGTCACCTGATAACTCCTCCCTACCACCCAGAGCCTTTCTCAGCTCTTATCTGAACTCTATGAAATATTCTTCTTTCCTCAGCTTCCACCATAAACTCCTTGGATCTCCCTTCATAAAGTTTACTTTGACTTCAGCAGCGAGCAGGCGCACCGAGGGCTCTCGCGCTCACTTTTCGCGTATAGAATTTCGAAAAAACATCGGTGCAAATTATAAGTCTGTATCATGATGTCTGGTGTTTTCGTGTTTGTTGGTTTGTTTTTATTTTGTTTTATTTTGCGAGTTGGTTATTAGATGCTGCTCCAGCCAGCCAGAGAATCCCCCGCCGCCCCGCCCTCTCCTCCCTGTGCCGCAAGCAGCAGGCGCACCTCGCAAACGGAGGGCGCCCTTACTCCCAGCAAATGGCGATAGAAAACCGATCGGTGCCTATGCCATTCCCAATATGCGCTGGCTGATGTCGGGGGCAGCATGAGTACAGAGCATTTTTTTTGTTTGGGTTTTTTTTTCCCGATGCCCATGATGCCGCCCCATACCACGATGCCGCCCCGGGCAACCGCCCGTGTCGCTCGTATCTAAAACCGCTACTGTCAGGCTGCTTTTACTGTATGCTCACCGCTGACCCCTTTTCACACTGTGACACGCACTGAAAATCGTGTCACATCTGCCAGCATTTCCCAGTAGTTCAGAGATGTACAGATACGCAGAGGGAGATGTTGCAGCTGACTCTGTGACCTTCGTCAGAACCACCAGACAGTCTGCCTTTTCTTTGTGTCTTGTGAAAGAATGAGTCTTTCTAAAGAGCTTGCTGAATTAGAGGATGGTGCAAACACTGTCAGATCCGTGGCAACAGATAACATGACAATGAGGTCAATTTCTACATTTACTCTGCAATAAGTAAGATTGCATCAGTAAGGATGGAGCATGTTTTCAGCTTGTGCAACATGAATGTAACCCATGAAAACTCAGTATTACAAGTCACCGGTGTAATTTACATCAGGGCACCTGGCGGTACTTTCTGCCTGATGGAGACATTTGTTTTCCCTACACCAAGTAGAGAAAGAGCCAAATTACCGAAATGACGCGGAACCACAGTTTGTACGGCAACTGTAACTGAAAAAAGTAATAGTCAAGTAATGAATTTCTGTGAATCTCTATTGAATTATGCTCAAAAACTCGAAAACACGGAGACAAATACCTGTGAAGTGAAGTAGTAAAGCTTTAGTTATTTTAGTAAAGAGTTTAACCAATCAAATCGCAATGCGCATGAATCTCCCCACCCCCACCACCATAATGTCAAACTGCTTGACTGTGACAAGTAGTCATTGAGCGAGTAGGAGGCAGAAGAAAAGCCGACTCTAGTTTTACAGAAAAAGACAAACGAAAAGAAATAAAAGAAGAAGAAGAAGAATCGTCATTTCACTCAGACAGCGGCTCTATATTTGTTATCATCTATTATGTGTACCTGCTGCTCAGACTCAAAGAAACCCTCTTTCATTGTTACTCTCTGGGCTTTTATGCTGTGCTTCATTGTCAGGAGTCCCGCTCAAGGTAAACGGATCCATTTATTAAACCAGCATCCGTGTGTGTTTGGATCGGCGCCGTAACTGTTACATTTGTGGGAACTTTAATGCGCCGAATTCGGTATAACTAATTTGCTGCTTTACTGTGTGTTAATGAAAGTGATGACAGCTATCAGTGAGTTACACTGAGAGTAGGCTTGATGATTCACCGCTACGTTCTGCACTCGTAATGAGCGACTTTCCTCTCACGTTTGCGCATTTATGTAGACTTAATGTGAAGAAACGTTAAATAATCGAAGATTAAAAATCAAATCGTATCTGAAAATATGAGCGTCCTGTCTTTGTGTTGAGATCTAACGAGTTCAAACGGCGTTTATTTAAAGCTGGGGTTTACGTTATGGTTGTCTAGCAACCGATAGATGCTTAAACATAGAAGAGCAGGACAAAAGGACACGTCGGGTTATACGAACGATGAAAGCTGGTTTATTATTAGGAAAATATTCACATAGGAGCAGAATTACAAAGTCTTAATAGCTTTTTAGCTTTTCTGGGAGATATATTTGACTCAGAACTCTTTTATTTTGTTTTTAAGATCAAAAAAATAGGTTTAGATTTAGAAAATGTATATTTATTTATTATAAAGGACTCCAAGATTAAATCTGAAAAAACCCCAAGAAAACCCCCAGACGCTGAAGTGGAGCTCAAAGGTTCAGATAATCTGATAATAATCTGTCTGACCTGATTTGTAAAAGATCAGCCTGTAGCTGGTTAGAGAGGTTTGTGACCGTTCTTCATCTCTTCCTGGTTGTGAGGTTAATTATTCAGCACCTCCTGATGTTTCAGTGACTTGAAGTCATCATTTATGCTCTGATGATTTCAGTATGTTGAAGTTTCTCCCAGAAGCAGCTGTTCTCTGTATTTCCTCTTGACATTAAAAATTAATAGTGAGCTAGAAGGACAACAAGCTGACTGCTTTATTAAATCTGCTGACACTGCATGTGTCTCATCCACAGGCAACAGCTGCTATTTTCCATTTCAACAAATGATTAGCACCACAGAGAGATCAGTCAGAGCCCTGTATCCGCTCTTACTGCACAGACCTGCGATGTAACAGGTTAAAAAGTGAAATAAATACTAACCACTCACAGCAGATGGCTGTACCTCCCCTGAGGCTGGTTCTGGAGGAGGTTTCATCTCGTTAAAAGGAGTTTTTTCATTCCACTGCCGCCAACTGATTGCCCATTAGAAGAATCGGATTGTTAGTGTTTTTCCAGAAATACTGTAGGATCTTTATCTTACAGTATAGAGCACTTTGAACGGACAATTTTTTTAATTTTAGCAAAAATATATAAAACGGAATTGAACTGAATCTCCTCACTAAGTTTTTGGGAAAATAAGGCTTTTTTTAAATGAAAAAAAAGTTTTTGTATCCCAAGCACAAGAACTCAAACTGTTCAGGTCGTCAGTGTGTAACTCCACAGGGGTCTGTGAGGAGTTCACGACGGTTTATTTTCCTCGTTTCCAGGTGAGGTTCTGGTGATCTGGTTCAAATCTTCCAATCATCGCTGCTCCGGGTGATGATGTCATCCTGCCGTGTCACCTGGAGCCCACGTTCGATGTCCAGGGTCTGACGGTGGAGTGGTCCAAACCCGACCTGAAGCCCGACCCGTCGGACCGGCTGAGCCGAGTGGAGTACGTTCACCTGTACAGGGACAGGCAGGAGGTCCCCGACATGAAGATGGCCTCGTACTTCAGGAGGACGGAGCTGTTCATGGACGACATGAAACACGGGAACATTTCACTGAAGATCCTGAACGTGTCGGAGGAAGACAACGGCAGATACAGATGTTTCATCCCCAAGCTGCAGAGCAGAGTGAAAGCTGCTGTTGTTGAACTTGTAGTCGGTGAGAAGATTTTGTGTTTGTGTTCATAAATATTAACCCGAAACTTTTGGTTTTTCTGTACGTTCAAAAGTTTTCAATTTATAGCAGATTATAACTCTACCTTTTTCTGGTGTTTTTTGCTTTGCTCTTTTAGATCCAAATGTATACAAAAACTCACGACAGAAGACGCCTGCTCATCTCAAACTCCAATCCTCAGGACACGACTCCAAAAATGTGTGAGAAGTCCAACAGTCCAACTTTCTGTCATCATCCCGTTTGATTATTTGAGGTACTTCTTTAGTCGTTTTCATACATCACAGGTCGAGTCCAGGGTCTCTGTGGTCATCGTCGTCCTTATTATTAGCTTTATGATCATTGTGGTCTTGCTGCAATTTCCTCCATGTTTCTCTGAACCGTAAATGTAAGAAACAAACAATAACACAAACATCTTGTTGTTCTTGTGCTCAGACTGGCTAATTTTCAACCTTCTTTCACAGAAGCACAAAAGGAGATGAGACGCAAAGATAACAGAACCCTGCAATTGTTAGGCGCGGTTTAATGAGAGAGGTTAGCTTATCCTGATCTTCAGTCAGATTGGGAATTCAAACCAGCATCCACAGGAGACACTCGGGCCCAGCAGCACTGAGATCATCATAAGGTCACACCTACAAAAGGATGTGAGTCTGACTGGGGTTTGAATCTTGACGCATCACATGAACAGCTGTGTGAAGTACACTTATAGAGCCTAAAAACAAATCTAAAATAAAGTGTTGTACTCTTAGGAAAACTTAACACTAAACTAATGTTATATTAAGATCAAATGAATAACAGAGAAGTTTTGAATGTAAGTGGGTTGGGATGCAATGAAGCAATGGTTCTTGGATTTAAATGTGACCTATGAGGTAATTTTGTTTCCAAAGTGTGATTGTTTCCCACATCGACTCACGTTGGTTAAACTATCTCACTGTGGAAAACACTGAAGAGTTTATTCAAGGTTAAAAATAAATTCCAAATGTGCTTCCTGGTGATCATAAAGAGCTCTGGTCAGTGGAAAAACCCTTACCTCACCAGTTTGAAATGTCAGGTTACAGTTAAACCATTATACTTAGTTTTCTTGGAATTATTTTTAGAGTTACTGGAAATTGTTAAATGCAGAACGATCAGCTGGTTTCAAGATATCTTTAACTTGTGGTCTCATTATGTAGCTCCAGTAGCTAATAGCATTTGATTTATTATATTTATTTATTTTATTTAATTACTTATTTTCCAGCTTTAGTTGTGATCAAGTGCTGGCTGATGTGCATCACCTGCTGAAAGGCAGTTCCCCTTTCGATGGGTTGTGTGAGTCTTTAAATCCTCAAACTGTAAATTATAAATTTTAAATTGTTATTGATCCCTTTACCCCGAGTCCTAAAGTGTATATTTATTTCCTTACTCTTCTTATATTTATTGTTTGCTTACTTGCACTGCTGTAACTAGAGCCTCGTCGTCTCTCTATATTCTGTACTGTATGTAGGGGAGATGACACTAAGAAACATCTCTAAACTGCGACATATGGTTTCCTCATCTCAGCTGAACTGGAAAAACTCATTCATGCATTTGTGTCATCACGCTTAGATTACTGTAATTCCCTGTTTACTAGTTTGGATAAATCATCTCTCTCTCGCCTCCAGGCAATGCAAAAGCAGCCAGACTCGTTCTAACAAGC